GGGGCGGCGGTTTGGGGGATCTGCGGGTTGCAGGGTGATTTTTAACATCTCTGAGCTCAGGCTGGAATCAGAAGGGCAGACCAGAGGCTTTGGAGTGCTCATACCAGACTCTTCAGAAAGGGCCGTGCCCAGCATGGCTGGGGTACTCTCCATGATTTCCCAGTGAATTTAATGCGTTGTCTCATACAGAACGTATGGCACTAACCCTCTGTGTGATGAAAAGCATAAGTAAAAAGACCTTCATGAATTTTTTTTTACTGTCTTCAGCATTATAGCAGGTTGTTTGGTGTTTGTTTGTTTTTCCAGTTGGGATGAAACTCATTTTGGGAAGATGGGAAGTTACTACATCAATCGGACCTTCTTCTTTGATGTCCACCCCCCTTTGGGGAAGGTAAACTGCTCTTCTCTTACATGTTTTAGAAGACACAGGAGTGGGCCAACAGAAGTCTTCCCCATCCTTCTGGCTGAAGGATGTGATGAACACCAGTACCCTTCCTAACTGCTGGTGGCATCAGGGTAATTTGCATTCTCTATCCAGAGTCTCAACTTGCATCTTTTCTTCTTTATGAAAGTGTTTTGAATATGGGAAAACAAAACAATATTGCATGTTGTGTATTTGAAAGGCTTGACATGAAAAAAAGGGTGTGGCCTTTTTGTGCTTTGTAGAGGATGTTTAATAGAAGCCTGCAGTTCAGAGGAATCAAACAGTTCCTGGTAGCTTGTGTGTAAAGGAGACTCCTACCACAGAGGGCCCTGAAAGCCCTGACTTGCTGTTCTGCAATTGAAGAACTTCCTACAGCAACAGTGTGCAGTGTTGATGAGGGTACACTCCTGCCTCAGGAAGATTATCTTCCTTTCAGGCTGAGTCTCTGAAAACTATAGGAATAGGAAGCTGTGGGAGAATCTACAGAGACAGGATTCTCTCTGCTAAATCCCACTCCTTCTGATCCCTTCTGATTTTGCCTTTAGACAAAGGGCAATACGTGTGCACCAGAGGGCTGGAGCACCTCTCCTATGAGGACAGGCTGAGAGAGTTGGGGCTGTTCAGCCTGGAAAAGAGAAGGCTCCACAGAGACCTTATAGTGGCCTTCCGGTACCTGAAGAGACCTACAGGAAGGCTGGGGAGGGACTTTTTACAAGGACAGGGAGTGATAGAACAAGAGGAAATGGCTTTAAAGTGGAAGAGGGTAGGGTTAGATTAGATATTAGGAAGAAATTCTTCACTGTGAGGGTGGTCAGACACTGGCACAGGTTGCCCAGAGAAGCTGTGGCTGCCCCCTCCCTGGAAGTGTTCAAGGCCAGGTTGGATGAGGCTTTGAGCAACCTGGTCTAGTGGAAGGTGTCCCTGCTGATGGCATGGGGGTTGGAACTGGATGATCTTTAAGGTCTTTTCCAACCCTAACCATTCTATAATATTAATTCTGTACATAAACTCTTGTTTGGATGATGTGTCTGAATTAAGTAGTTATCCTCTGGATCAGACTTAGCTTCTGTAAAAATCTTACCTGCTGCTGGCTTGGATACTCCCTCCTCCAATGCGATTTCCCTGGCCGTTTTTTTCACCTTTCCTCTTCAGATGCTGATCGGACTTGCTGGCTACCTTAGTGGATATGATGGTACATTTCCTTTCCAAAAGCCAGGGGACAGATATGAGCAGCACAACTACGTGGGAATGAGAGGGGTAAGGCTCTACAGGCTCGTATCAAGCTGGTTAGCTCTCCTGTGCTTTTTGGTACAGAGTGCTGTGTCTTAAGAACAGCTCTCCTGAATCAGATCAGAGGTCTGTTTAGCCTTGTGCCTTGTCTTTAAGCTCCTTAGAAAAGTGTTAGCAGTTGTATTGTGAATAAGTCTTAATGTCCAGCCCTGAAAGGCCAGGTAAGAAAGTAAGGTGATTATTGAGGCCAACCCTTGCTGCTAATTAGTGGGACAGATATCTTGCCTGCTCTGCAAAGGGAACGTTGCTGAGGTTGAGCTTCTGCTCACTCCATTGTGCCTGGCTGCTCTGCTGGAGAGCCAAGGATGTAAAAAAGCCAGGATCATCCACTGCCACCTGCATTTTACCACCACCAGTGATACTGGGCTGAGTAAGCTGATGGAGCAGGGGGCAGGAATTACTATTCAGAGTGGTATTCTATCTGAAACCCTGGCTGTACTGCTATCTAAGAAGGCCAAGAGCCATGAAAGTGAGAGCAGATAACACAAGCCAAAAAAACCCACAATGGCCAGTTGCTAGTGCGTAGAAAGAAGGATCAAAACTGGGAAAGCATATTTTCTTGGTTTACTTTCTGGGTCCCCATCACTTCATGGTTCTAGATTTCCCTCAGCCAAAGGTGGGAGAAGTGCTAGGACCAGACACTGAAGAGAACAAATTTTACTGTGATGCTGCTTTCTTTTGTTTTGATTTCTGTTTTTCCTCCTGCAACTATCCTCAGTCTCATTTGTTTAGGGGAGGTGGTACTGGTCTGCTAAAGGTGTAAGGTACAGGTGTATTTTGTTCTTAGATTTCGTATTCTAATATCTCGTTAAAATAAGCGGAGTGTGGTGGATGTGTCGTGCGCCTACTTGACATGTCTTTTTCTGAATATTTGATGTAGTCTAGCAAGAGAATGACCGACTGTTGTTACTGACACCCCTAGAGACAGAACAGAGTAAGCAGCTGTCCTTCTCTAACAGTATCTTTGTTCCTTTGGCTTTTGCCTGGTGTTGTTAGTGAGTCAGTTCAGCTACTGCAACACCTCCTGATGTTGGTAGGTGTGGAAGATGAAGGAAGGGAAAGGGTGTGGGTGCTTTTTGACCTTGGGGAGGGTTGTAACTTCTCCCCTGATCATATTTTCCTACAGTTCTGTGCGTTTCTTGGCTCCTGCCTGGTTCCCTTTGCCTACCTCACTGTGTTGGAACTGTCAAAGTCATTGCCAGCAGCCTTACTCACAGCTTTCATCCTTATTTTTGGTAGGTGTTCTTGCTACAGCAAAATTGAGCAGGTTAATTGTTTAAAGAATTTAATTTCTGGATTATCATATGTTACCTAGCCAGGGGATATTGGGATTAATGGGAGAGGTTCCCAAAAGCAAAGTCATTCTGCTTTATATATATGAGGCTTTTTAATTTATGGTTCTCTTGAGAATTTTACAGTCTTGTTTAGTTCATGGGTACTTCTGTTTTGTGCATAACCACAGTATTGGACTAGATTTCACCTCAGTTTTAAGAATTTTTATAGGATGGATGCTTGGGAATGATTTTGCCCACTAGTGAAATACTGATGTCTCCCATATGAATTATAGAGGTATTTAACAGCCTACTCTTAAAGAGTTCACTGTACAAAATGAATAAAGCTTCCTGTTGATTTGAGCCAAGTGGAAAAATTAACATTGCAAATGGTGTTACCCAAATTAGGGTTTTGTGAGGACACATAGATACTGAGGCACGGAGACTTAAAATATCCAAGTCACATTCATTTTTTATGGATGATATCTGAAAAATGACTTCTCCTGTGGCATCCTCTGGTACCATACTGGTGCCTTAGTAGGTAGATCATTGCTGTCTGTCACGGTCTCCATCTGAATATGTTAGCAGCACCTCCCAAATGGTGTTTCACAGGTACTTTTGTACTGCCTGATTTTTGTGAGGATTTTTTTTTTCATTTGTTACCCAAGCAGAAGTTGAAATGTTCTGATCTGCTTCTATGTCTAAAATTTCCTTTGTTCCCCTTATCTTGACTAGATTGAGGAAACTGGCTTTCTGCAATCTTAGATTCACTTTGGGACTACAAGCATTTTTGACACATTTTTGTGTATCTCTTTGCAGATACAGGCTGTATTACTTTGTCTCAATATATTCTGCTGGACCCCATTCTGATGTTCTTCCTCATGGGAGCTGTTCTGAGTATGGTGAAATGTAACAGCTGTGCAGATAGGTAAGATAAAGATGATAATTTTGTTAAACTCTAGGTACGCAGCTTTCACATGGTTAAAGTACTAGAACTTGTCTGCCACTTGGTAGTCTGGGTGAATGGTTGAGATGAGATTGTTTCAGGAGGTTTGGAGGTGAAAATGGCTCATGGTAGGGGTGAGAAATCTTTAGGGTAAGGGTTTATGAAACTAGGGAGAAAGTATCAGGGCTGGGTAAACCAGGAGAGAAACTCAAATAGGTTATTTTAGCAAGAAAGGAAATTTCAGCAGAAATAGTGTTTAGGGAACTGCAGATCGTGAAAATGAAGGTTAAAGCTTTTTGAAACTTGACAGGAAAGAAAGCTGGTATGGTGTGTTGTAGGTCAGAGAGGGAGGAATGAAGGATGGCTGGAGCCTGTTTAAGGCTTTGCTCCTTAATGGCAAAAATATTAATTTGTTATCTTGAACCAGTCACTTTGTCCCCAGGCTGGAGGAACACAGCTGATCTGTGACTGTAATCCTATAAGCACTTATAAGATCCTGCTAGCTGAGGTAAATAGTGTAATTTGTTTGGTTTAGAGAAATTTGCACCAAAACATTGAGAGAAATATAGCCAGGATGTGTCTGAATAAAGCAGTTAAGTTGCTCAGGATATTTACTGTAGACCCATCCAGAGTGTGATGATGATTTATAGGTATTTGGATACATCAGAAGGCTTCTCTGTGGCTGGGCTGTACAGAGTAGTTTCCCCCCAATGCATCCAGAATTCAAAGACATAAAAGCTTAGAATACTGGGTTATATAGGAGCAATTTGTGTTTCATGAAATGTTCAAGAACCAATTATATCAAATTGGTGTGACTGCAGCACACATGGCTAAAGTGCAGCCTGTAGCATGGTGTGGGGCCCTCCAAGACCGTCCTCATCTAAAACACACACCCCAGGCAGTGCAAGCACTAACAGGGCAGTGTTTGATCAGCTCTGTGTGCCTTGGCCTGAATTTATTTCTTGTGTCTTAGAGCAAATCATGTTTTCAAACTAGCTGGTTTTATGCAAATTAAAAGCCAGCTCTAGCTATTGTGTTGCTTGGTATGTTGTGGGGATTTTCTCTAGCCAAAATACAAGTGTCAAGGCATCAGGAGTCAGTAGTAAAAGGGTTTTAAATTCTGTTATCGTCTTTTCTCCGTGGTTCCATTTTAGTTTAGTTTGTAATTTGCTTTTTGCTGCAGCTTTTGTTTGTGCTTTGGGTGGATATTTTCCACTATGGCCTTTCTGCTTTAGGAAAAGTAGTAGTTCTTTTTTTCCTGTTCTCTCCTATGTCCTTAGCTTTCAAAGAGATTTAAGTTTGCATTTTATGGAGCAAAAGTCCCGTTTCTATTTTCAGACCTTTCACATGTCAGACTTTCTTCACACTAATATTTTAGTTCATACCTGGTGTCTGTTTCCTTCCTTAAAGGGGAGATCTAAGGCTGCCCAGGCTTAAGTGTTGGGCTCTTCTGCAGCCTGTATCAGGGGTATCCTTGTACCGTTGTAAAATTAATGAAAAAATTATCTTTCTGTTCCTCATGGACTCCTGAGAAGAAGATGGAATGTAATTTTGCAGGGTAGCCAGTTTGTTGTTTGTTTTTCTGATTGCGGATGCCCATTCAAGTAGCCATCATTTATTTCCTGACCTGCTCTGTCTGTCCTGCAGGCCATTTTCTGCCTCCTGGTGGTTCTGGCTGAGTCTCACTGGCGTGAATCTTGCTGGAGCAATGGGGGTAAAGTTTGTTGGCCTTTTTGTAGTCCTCTTGGTTGGCCTGAACACAATCTATGACCTATGGGACTTGCTAGGGAACCTCAGCCTGTCACTGGTGAGTGTCAAAACATTAAGGGTTCCTTTGTTTTGTTTTGCTTTCTTTTGCCTTTGTAATTCTCCTAGTTATTGACAGCCATGGTACTAGACAAACAGTGATGCTCTGTCTGCAGCAAACAGTAGCATTTGAGGTGAATGATGATGATTCAAAATGAAGGTTATAATGGAAAAACTATTGCCACATTTAAAAAAAACCCCCACATATGTCAGCGGGATGTGTCAGAACAGCACAGCAAAAGGTTGTTGCTTTCTCTTGGGAGAAACTATTACCTTTCCAGTTGGATGAATTTTATTTCAATCTAGTTTAAAAATGCTTGTTGGCTGTACAGTGGCCCGAAGCAAGATGTTGTCCAACACTGTTATTACATGATCTTCTGAGGAGTATGTGCTGCCTGGCTGGCAGGCGTGTTTTGAAGCGCAAGCTCAGGCTCTGCTTCATGAGAGCAGGGGGGCACAGGGCATGTAGCAGTAGCGTGCTGTAGTCCATCAGGAGTCACAGGCATGCTCTGCAACATGCAGTCTCCATAGCCAGTCCTGAGGATGGGACAGCTGTAGCCTGCTTGATTTCACAAGGGTTTAGTTCTTGCCAGCTCCAAGAAACTTGCTAGTGTGTTTGGATGCCCTGTTCTATTATATTGCATTTTGTATTTGGGGACTGGGAAATCTGCTATTTGGAGAAACACCTTGCTGTACTGTATTTGCAACCAGCAGGAAAACAAATTCTTCAAGTACATCTTTTAAAGGTGTTCAGTTCTCCTCTTGTCTCAGCCTCTTCTGAAACTTGAAAATTTATCTTTCACTTACTGTTTTTGTCCTGTTTGTCTTATAAACAGTGGGGGTTTGGGGGGACTTTTTCTATTCCTGCTATGTGATTTGCTTTCTCTGATTAATGTGAATCAATATGGGCTGCAAAGGTGCAGTGTTCCAGCTCTGGAGAAGCATTTCTTGAGCAAAGCCAGTTAATTGCATTTGAAATGGAACAAATCCATCATGTCTAAACTTTCTGCCAGCAGACAGCTGCAGAGTATTTCATTTGTGCTGCTGGCAGCAAAGGCAGCAAGCCACTGAGTGTTAGAATATGTAAAGAAATTTACTCCAGAAGGCAGATGCTTTCTGAATACTAACTATTTGGCAACCTTGGTGTTTGAGGAGGAGGAAAAAAAAAGAAGTGAGGATTAAACCTCTTGAAGCCTGAATAACTTATCTCTGCATTTGTTAGTAAATTACTCATGATTATTTACATGCAAGGTTTTTGGGACTAATTTGATTTCTAGAATTCTCAGCTTATCCTGGTCCACTCTTCTGTTTTGCTCAATGCTGTCCTTCACATGCATTTTTTTTTTTCCGGACTTTGCATTGGAGTCTGTAGTTAAAGAAAACCTTTTCACAAAGATTGAAGCATATTGTGGTCATTTTGAGCAGGGAACTGGAAATTAGTTCATATGCCTCTCCATTGCATAAATTTGGTTATGTAACATCAATCAGCATTTTTCCAAGTGGCCAGTGGTTATTGTGTGATGCTCAAGTACTTCTGCTGAGCAACTGTTTCCTTTGATTTCAGTAAGTTCTTAGTTTTGTAATGTGTTCAGCTCTTTTTCCATTACTCCTGAAATCTTTGGCTCTGGTATGAAGAGATGGAGGATGATTAGCTTAATGATTCTATGATAGGTACCATGTCAAAAAAATACAGAAGATACAGCAGGTCCATCTGCCTTTGTCCGCTTTGAAGTTTGAGGTAGTTTTGCCCTGGTGGGCTCGCTTGCATGGTAGGCTTCTGCTATAGGGCCACAGCTCAGATTCCTGTGAGGTAAAGCGTGGAGTTGTTCCTGCAGCTGCACTGTTTGATCCAGTTTGTGTTTGTTACAGGTCATGTTTGGGAGGCATTTACTGGCTCGTGTACTCTGCCTCATCCTGCTCCCGCTTGCCCTCTACACGGCTATGTTCGCTGTTCATTTTACAGTATTAAATAAAAGGTATTTCACAGTGTTTTCTCCAGAAGAAGAATCTCTTATCTTTGCTTTGAATTAAAGGCTATTGATTACGGATTTCTCCATCTGCAGAGTCAGAAGCACAGCCACAAGCTGTGTCTTTGTTTAATTCCCATCCCAGACTCCTGCATTGTTTCTAGAGAAAGGCTCTGGCCAAGCTGGCAGCGAAAGTGAGTTTGAGCTTAAGACTTTCTGAAATGCCAAGCAAGTATCCCAACCAAACTCTGTCTCCTTTTTTTTTCCTTCCTCTCATTCCTGGACCTGAAAATGTCTAAACTCCATTCTTTTTGGTTTAGTTTTCATAATCAAAAAAAAAAAAAAAGACATTGCATTCTGAAAATGCTTTGGCTGTGATTAAAAGAAATAAGTCTGAGCGTGCCCAAAGGGAGGGCTCTTGTCTGAATGGCTGCAACCAAAGGATGCTTTTTATGTGGAAAGAGCACAACAGCTAGTAAAATGGCCAAGTAATGTTTTTCCATATGCCAACATTAAGATATGAGGTGAATAAGCATTTCACCATAAAAAATAATATAAAATTAAATCAGTTATTTTTCAGTTTAAGTCAACTGGTCTTACTGCTACCCTCTTAGCAGAAATGAGATTTAAGGAGCCACAGAGGGAGGGTATGTTACGTTTGACCTGACAGTGGGTCAGTTTATTTGTCATAAGAACACCTCCAAAGACAGCTGATGGTGCTTTGTGCAGTGTCAGTGTGTACATTTTTGTGACCTCAAATCCTTGCAGCTCTGGACAATTTCCTGCAAGACTGTCTCTTATCTGCTGTGATTCACAGCATTTAGAGGTGTGTGCATCTAAGGGAACTGCAGTCATTCTTCTCCTGATGCCATGCCTGGTTTATCTTTTTCCTTCTGTAAAAACAATTTGGTAATGCATGAGAGAGCTTTGTATGCCTGTTTTGCCAGACTCTGAATTGTCACATTCTTTGCTCTCTTTTGTAGTGGTCCTGGGGATGGTTTCTTCAGTTCAGCATTTCAGTCCCAGCTGATCGGGAACAATCTTCATAATGTCTCCATTCCAGAGCGTGAGTGTCCAAAGGAATAAACCACTTGGAGTGTTGTCAGTGTATGTGGGGGTTGAAATAAAAACTATGAGTCGGTGCAGGACAGTGCAGATCATGCCTTCATGGTCGTGGTCAGATCCATGCTGTTCCTCTGTGCAGTTTTGTATATTGACAGAAAAGAAAAAGGCTGAAAATAACACCACATTTAGTGCAAGCTCACTAGCTGTTTCATTGTACTCCTTCTGGAGGGATAGATGCCATTTTGAGGGATTTGACAGTTTTGTATGCATGCATCTTCGTGTTTTTTTGCCTTCCTGTTGCTTGAGACAACAAAAAGAGGTTTGTCCTGTTCACCTTAGGTTTGTAGGTGTTCAGATGTGGGTTTTGTTTCCAAAATGACTGTAAATGAAAACTCTCAGCTCGTTTGTGACACAGTGTGCCCCTGGTTCAGC